GGATGGAGAGTCTTGAAGGATATTTTTCTCTGCTCTCAACAAAAGATTTTTTAAATGTTTTTTCTCATTCTTATTACATTTCCTCCCCACAATCCTCAGTGCCTTATGCACAGCTAGATCCATTGTAGATGCAAGATAAAATGGTTTTGAATGGATGAAAAAGGGTTTATTAATTGTCATTAGGAAAGAATCCTGAAGAATACAGCATAAGCAAAGTGTTCATTTCCTCTTTAGATATTTATGCAGAAGAGTCACTCATTTCAGTGGGTCTTCATTTCAGTGGGTGTTGGGTAATGTGGCCACTGGCCACAGCTTCCTGAAGGACAGTGACACACACAAGAGCTCGGTGGTGGTGGTGGTGGAGGGTGCACCTGGCCTTAGGCTACCACTCAAGAGGCCTAGACAAGTGTTTCATTGGCATAAATGAGAAGAGCTTTGCTAGAAAAGAGGGCCCTGTTGGCCAGGCTAAGTTAAGCTAAGCTGCAGCAACAAAAAAACCACCCAAACTCAGTGGCTTTACAGAAAGTTTAGTTAGCACTCCTGTCACACTCCAGTGCAGGTCATGAAACCTGCCTCTGCTTTGTAGACTTGCCATCTGGATCCCATGAGCCCCGAAGCTGCAGTACCAGGCAAGGAGAGAGCTGGAGGTTGTAGAGGATGTTCTTCAGTGCCAGGATTACAAGTGGCATGAGTCACTTCAGCCTGTGTCCCATCTGTCCAGACACTCTTACATGACCCCAACCGCAAAGGAGTCTGGGAAATGTGGTTCGGCTGTGTGCCTAAGAAGAATGTGGTGGAGAACACATAGCATTTGTCTGCTACAGAGAGTCAGGGGGAAAGGGTGACAGCAGAGAAGTGGGGCAAAGAGAGCCCCTCTATAGCAGGAAAGAAGTGTATGCACCAGCTTCTCTTGGGGTTTCTGGCCTGGGATGGGCAACACACACCATCCTTCGTTATATTTGGCTAAATGGAAGGATAGCAATTTAAGTGCAAATCGGTGAGCTGTGGCGTCCTGGAATCCATGCCTGTGAATTAGATACAATATGCTTTTTTGCATAGGTACGGTCCACGGCAAATCCAAACCCGAGGAGAAGGCAGGTGCATGGAGGGGGAGGGGAGCAGCCTGTGCACACCGATACTGCGTGTTTCTGTAGGGCATGCGCTCAAACTACTTGAGGGGCCCAGGCCAGCTCTTCGAGCACCTGCTTACAAAGCCGACTGGAGGACAGAGGGGACAGAGGCTAGTGGGAGCCCCCAGGTCTCCTCCAGAATTAGATTCATGGTCCACTGGGGAGGACACATCTACCATTCTGTTCACTCTGAGAGCAGATCGAAACCCCTCACATCAAGATTCTAGCAAAGAAACATAATCCTTTAAGACACTTGCCTTTTAATTGTTGGCTGGTTTTCACAACAACATAGCTATTCCCACAGGGTCTCTACAACCATTGTCTGATACTGTCCTTTAGGCTCTGCAGGAAACACTCTGGAGATTTCTGACCTGGGTCATCCCCCACGCAGCCTCAGACTCATTCACACTTTCCTAATAGGGCCAGTGAGTCCCAGCTCTGGGTGTGACACTGCAGGTGTATCTGGTTATCTCGGAGATGGGGGGGGTGTCACAATGTCTATAAACCAGAATATAAATTTATTAAATTTACAGTAGCATTTTTAGGAGCATTTTATCTCAGGGTGTTTCCTGAGGGGGAATTTCGTCCCAGAAGCCAGGGCCCCGTGCCTGCCCAGTCTTTCTCTCTCTAGTTTTAAGGAGCAGGTGCCTGTTTCTCTAAACTGACCTGCATCACTTTGTCCCTTGTCACTTGGAGGAGGCGGCTTATCTGCCGAACCAGCCATCAGCCTTGAGCCAGGGATGACTGCCACGTTGAAAGGGGTTCAGAACTGGGGTGCTACCAGATCACACACTGCGCACCTGGACGGTGGAGGCTCTAAACATCTAAACAGAAGGGATCAGGGACGGCAAGACAGTTAGAAAAACAGGGCAGATGGCTTGGGACTGGTCTTGAAGAAGCATTTCTATAACAACCACACTTTTACCTGTACAGGATCTTACTGGAAGGGGAGCGGTTGAGGACAACTGAGAGAGAGGTTAAAGCTCCCTGTTCTCCACCCCCCAGAGTGTCTCCCTTGCCTCTTGTTCAGGTTTCCATCAGTAAATGGTCCGGACCAATGTCCCCCTTAATGGCAAGTCATGCTTGCCTCGAAGCTGGTGCACTGCACTGCTGCCAGGGCAAATCCAGCCTCCCCCGACCAGGGTTGGGAGGGGGCAGCTCCCGCCCACCCAGCCTGTCCCAAAAACTGGGCAGAGGGAGGGGAGAGCAGCGGCCCTAAGACTGTGTCATGTGTAAGCCCCCAGCCAGACTGATCAGCCTTGGATGCTTGCAAAGTGATTGTGAGCAGGTGCCCTGCAGGAGCAGATGGGACCAAGAGAGCGAAAGACCTCTGGCGGCCCGCAAAGTGACAGAGGTGAGGCGCCCTCCTCCACCTTGCAGCCCTCCCTGTCTGCACTTAGTCTGGAAGCTTCCTCCCACCGCAGTGAACTGTCTCGCACGTTCAGTGCAGGGCGTATGCCGAAGGACTTAGCATGGCTTTCCTAGCCCCTTACATCCTTTCGCCCAGCGTGATGAGCGCTGGTACTGTCTGAGCTGAGGGCGACTGCCCGCAGGTGGAAAGGAGCCCCCGCCGGCCGTCGAGATGCGTTTGCGGCCCCGGAGCCAGCAGGGGGCCCCGCATCCCCGGGAGAATGGGAGACTGCTGGCTGCCACCTGGGGAGGGAGGTCCGACACCGCATAATGAGTGTCATTCCCTGGCGCCTTTGATCCTCACAGAGCCACAAAAGAAGTCCTGTCCAGGTCCCTCTTCTAAAGGTTACGCAGGCCACCGCGACCACACATTCCTTCTGAGCCAGGGGAGGGAGACAGCGTGAGTGCGCCCTTCCGAGGGCCAGGATTGTATCCTGTGTGTGTGTGTGTGTGTGCACGCGCACCTGCGCGTGTGTTGCACAATTTGCAGGGACCGGCAGCCCTGCCTCTACTTTCTGTCCGGGGACTATTGTTAGTTGGCCTATTAGGTTCTCATTAGATTCTCAGCTGCTGCTCCGAGTTTTCTCTTTTACAGAATAGAGAACTGGGGACTTGTTTCTTAAAGAAGAAAGCTCGGTGTTAGAAGGTTTTCAAACCTCTGAGAAGAGAGGGAGGGCAAATGAGAGTGCGGGGACCTGGCCTTCCGGGATCTCAGGCCAATTACCCATGCAGGGAAGGTCCTTATGCCTCCCTGCCCGCTCCCAGCTACCAGTGCTTCTGTGTTTAACTGTTGCATGAAGACTTCCAGCGCCAGGCTCCCCTGGCCTGTGCTAAAATAAACAACCCTTTCATCGCTAGACTGACTTGTGGTCTTCTAGAAATTCTCCAGGTATGGGCGTGGCTCAGTCGGTTATGCATCTGACTCTTGGTTTCGGCTCGGGTCGTGATCTCAGGGTCGTGAGATTGAGCTGTGCATCGGGCTCTGCACTGAGTACGAAGTCTGCTTGAGATTCTGTCTCTCCCTCTCCTTTTGCCCCTCCCCCACTAAAAATAAATAAATAAATATAAAAAAAAATTCTCCAGGTATATTTCCTGAATGAAGGTGTAGGGACAGGCATCTGGAAACTACCGGTGTGTTCTGATGTCAGCCTGTGGACCACAGATCACCATCAGAGCAAGTTACTTACCAGGGATACAAATAGTCATTTGTTTCTTATAAATTGCTCCAAAAGGGAAAAAGTTTGCTTTTTTTTTTTTTTAAATGAGCACTTTCAGAACCTCTCATATGGGGCCTAAGTACCCAGCAGCTGTGGTGAGGGGCCTGGTGGTGTGTTCTGTCACTCCGTGCTTCTTCCTGAGCGCTTTCTTGAGGGTAGCAGGTGGGGGATAGAAGAAGAGTCCGTTCCAGGCTCAGTTGTGGTCTTTGGTCAGCTGCAGATAAATTTCATGGATAATTCAGGAAAAAGAAAATGGACTTGGGTTATGCTTTGTGACAGCCAGACCAAAAACCAAGATGCAATGATACTATCATAACCCCAGAATGTAATGTAATTTTCATAATTGGGAATTAGTGCTTAAAGACACTAAAGTTAGAACCAACAGCCCCAGTGAGTCATTTTGCATTAAGTTTACTAGGAAGAATCATTTTTCATGATTCCTCAGTGGTCCCGGCAATTATGTCTGTTGAAAGTACTGCGTTTCCTTTTTATTCCTTTTAGAGGTTTGCAAATTTTTACCAACAGGAATGGATAATAAGACTATGCTTTAGGGCGCCTGGGTGGCTCAGTCGTTAAACGTCTGCCTTTGGCTCGGGTCATGATCCCAGGGTCCTGGGATCGAGCCCCGAGTCGGGCTCCCTGCTCAGCGGGAAGCCTGCTTCTCCCTCTCCCACTCCCCCTGCTTGTGTTCCTTCTCTCGCTGTGTCTCTCTCTGTCAAATAAATAAATAAAATCTTAAAAAAAAAAGACTGTGCTTTAAACAAACTTAAGAAAAGTATGTTGGTACTTTTTATCAATGCTCATTTAATGCACTATCATTTTAGGAAAGTGATTCCAGCTCTGTTTCTTGGTATCTCTGGCAACCAATGTGTAGATATATCAGAAATAGTATTTGTTTGTATAAAAATATATTCCTCATGCCTTTTGATTCCTCCCCGATGGAGCAGGCATTTTACACTTGAAACGCAGATAGTGGAACAATTTGTCCATTCTAGTCAACTGCCTTAAAAACCCAGTTCCCAGGGGCTCCTGGGTGGCTCAGTCGGTTGAGCACCACCAGCTCAGGTCCTGATCTCAGGGTCCTGAGATTGAACCCCTCCCCACCTCCTAGGGTTCTTCACTCTGTTTGGGATTCTTTCTCCCTCTGCCCCCCCCCCCACACTCGAGTGCAGGCGCTTACACACACTCTCTCTTTCTCTTGCAAATAAATAAATAAATAAAATCTTAAAAAAAAAAAAAAAAGAACCCAGTTCCCACCACGTAAAACAACCTTCCAAAACCTTCCTTCTGCTCTCCTTCCTTTCCAGCCTGTACCCTTAGTACATCATTTGTAAACATTGCCATGGAGGGTTTGGGTGCTTTAATTTGTTCATCTAAAAGGATAGACAAAATTAACCATTTCCAAGTGACCAAAGCAAGTCTGCTCCCTTACTTGGAAGATTACAGAAGTATTTGCCTTTCAGTACATTAGATCTGCAGCTACATTAGTTGTCTCCGTGTCTTTAGATTTTGCAAAAGGAAACTGAAATCCAGCAAGTCGTATTAGGAGCCCATTCAAAAAGTGAACAAAAAAGCAAATGAAAACAACCCAGAACGAAGTGGTGTATTTTTCACTTTGCGTTTTGTAGGCATAAGTCCCTTCTTTATAATTTGCAATTTTTTCTGAGAGGTGGTGGATTTTCACTTCAGAGGCAAACAGTATCATGACAAGACAGCCACAGGAGCCTGCAACAGAAGGAACAAACAACGTGTTGGCACAAATATTTCCTGATTGTAAGGGGCGGGGAAGAGGGTCAGCAAACCAAAGAAAGCCTTTACCATCATCCTCATTTGCATTCTTCTGCAAAAAATATATAATTTCAAATTGGTAATCATGAGCCTGATTCTCCAACTGATGGGTGGAAGGGCCTGGGCTATGTCTCTGAGTGAAGACGACTTGGTGGGGGTAGGGAGGGTAGAATCTCACCAAGATTGGGAGATGTTCCTCTCTGCCTGATGAGAAGGCTGGATTGCTGGGGACCTTAGGAGCACAATGGTGGAATGAGGCTACAAAGCAGCCACGACTATGATGTGGCTTTAAGAGAACAAATTTCTCTATACTTCACAGGCCATGTAGGAAAAATGTCAGTCATACAGGCCCCTTGTGAAAGGGCCTAGGGCTTCCTTCAGAAGGGCTACTTGCCTTCCCCTCTCCTCCAGCTCCCACCTGGCCACAGCTGCCCACAGGAGACCCTGGGCAAAAGGAGCCATAGATAAGGTGTTGAGGCAAACAGTTATTTGTGCTCTGTGTTTCTAACAGAATGCAGGATTTTTACTTGGGTGTGTGGCTGCCTTGAATAAAGGCTACATTGTTTGGTTGAGGAGGGGTGGGATCTACGTAGGGGCAGGAACGTTTCCTTGAAGTCTGCATGTATCAGAGGCCTGTCCTTTCTTTTCCCCCTTCCTCCTTCCTGTAGTTGAAATATGGATGCAATGGCTGGAGCTCCAGCAGACATTTTGGAGCAGGTGGCCTCAGAAATGCAAGCCATGTACTGTGGAAAAACAAGAAAGGAGGAGTCTGGATCCCAGATACCTGGAGCTACCAGACCAACCCTGGATTTTAAACTCTAGGTTTTTATGGGAAAGAAAAATAAATCTCTATTTTGTTTAGTCCACTGTTATTATTTCCCCCTCATTTACCACTCATTGGTAGCCTAATCTAATCTTACTTAACTGGTGCAGCTGAGGTCTGGGGTGAGCTCTCTGCAGGACAGGGGCACTCCATACTGAGTGGTGCCTAGAAATTCTGATAGGCCCTCTCCCACTGAGGATGGAGAATGGGAGACCCCCAGATGGGTGGATGGCACAGGGGGCAGAAGCAGGCAGGAAGATCGGGAGCACAGTGGATAGCCAGGATGCCAGGGACTTCTACCTCTAGTGTTGCATCCCAAGCCATTGGGGTTCCAGTTAATAGGAGACTTGCTGAGGTGGTCTTCTGACTTAGGTCAAACCGATTTGGATTCAGACCCTGATTCTTCCACTTACTCTGTGAGAGTAGGCAATTTTAATCTCCAAGTCTCAATTTTCTCATCTATAAAATGTGGATAATAAAGATGATGCCTGATTAACATTTGTCATTGAGAATTGACACATATAAATGCTTACTAATTGGTAGCTCTTCCTATGAATATGAATTTAATGTATTCCTTTCATCTTGGAAGTCCTTACCAGAATCCGTTACCCCGCCCCACCGCACACCAAGAAAACCTGACTATATCAGATAGGCCATCCAAAAGAATGCATCACAGTGCCTTATTCCTCCAAATACTCTCCCATTAGGTTTACAACTCCTTTAGGAGGGGTAAGTGCTTTTTGCTCTTCAATTACAGTTAATTCAAACACCCTGGGAACAGCAACATAGTGGCTTAAGTTCCCATTCACTAATTCACTCATTCATTTATTCAATTTGACTTGTTATGTGCCGAGTACCGGGACAGTGGTGGACATATAAACGTTAAAGAAAATGCATGTGGTTTCTCCTCTAACAGAGAGTATAATCGGACAGGGTAAAACAATTATAAACCAGCCGCAGTGAGTGTAACAGCTAGGGGGGGTACAGGTGGCTGTTACTGAGAGGGTGGGCAGCATCATGGAAGGTTCTTTGGAAGTAGCTGTAGGAAAAATCAGCCGAGCAAAGGGAGGCTGGACTGTGTGGGGAGAGTGGTCTGGACATGAAGAGCCGTAATGCAAATGGTGGCCCCATTCTTTTCCCAAAGGCCAGGTTTGGGCTGGGATAGAGGGAGAGAATGGATCGTGTGAGGGTAAGGGGTGAGGGGTGGGGTGAGCAGGGAAGGAGAAATCACACATCTTCTATTTTAGAATTTTGCATAGGACTGACCCATCAGCTTGATCATCCTCCTAATATAACCCCCCAAATAATCAAATGATCTCGTTTTCTTGAAACTTCACTTCTCGCCAGCCTTAGAGCAGTAGTTGAGAATATTCCTTTGTAAAATTTGTCAGCCTATTTTTGTGTTCTGAACTTCAAACCAGGGCTCTCCCCTGGCAAAACCGTACTATTCCTTTCTTGTTAGATCCAACAAAAAGGCTGCAATGCTGTTTTCTCTTTATCTTTTATTTGAAAATTGTGGAGAAAATGCCATTGCTTTTACCAGAAGAGACTTCTTTGTCTAGGAGATGGTGAATTTCAGACAGAAGCGAAACACTGTATTGCCTTCCTGCTTGAAAGGAAAATTCAAGCTCGGTTTCCTTTTCATGTTGTTAAATATTTTAAAGGTACTACTTTGTGAAGGAGACAGCATCATAGTGAGCCTGTATTTCAAATTCCTAAAGTAAAGGTTGCTTGGACTATCTGCAGACTCACAGCCTTTCTCCACGGCTAATCATCCAAGCATGCAAGCTCCTAAAACAGAGTGCACGGTCCAGTAGTTGAGAGGATGGTCTGGGATTCTGCTCTGGATTCTGGAGTTGACCATGAGGTCACCCTTGTCATTTCAGAGACGGAGCATAGCGACCTAGCTTGAGTTTCTGCCACCCTCATGACTATGAAGAGACACCCAGGGAAACGACTCACTATGACATGAGGCTATCTTTGCCTCCCTCTGTCCACGGCTCTAAAAGACATGTGGGACCAATGATATGTGGGACCAAGGATAACTACGACTTTCAGACCAAAAGATAACATACGAAGTGCATCTTCTCTTTGTGGCCTGGCTACTAGGCACATGGAGAGAGGTGTGTAAGGGATGGGGGTGATGGTGCAAGTAGGGCTTGGCACTTTTCTAAAATGTCCTTTAGTCCCCAGCAAGGGGGCTCCTGCTATGGCTCCCACATTTGGAGGGTACTGCTCTCTCTCTCCTAGAAAGACCCCTTCCCACAAGGAGAGGAATTCTTGAAGTCAATGGGATGAGCCCATTCCTGACCCACACTCTAGACCAGACTCCCGGGACCTGGGAATTCTCTCCCCAAACAGCTCTGAGCACATTTCCAGGACTGCATGGACATCTACTCTTCCTTGGGTCAGTCCTCCCAAGGGCAGACTTTTCGGCTGGTGCTGCAGAGCCCTGAGGCCTGAGGATGGCCAAGGAACGGCTATTTCGAGGGCGTGGTCAGAGCTTGGGTACTCAGGGGAATGTCCACACGTGCATACCATTACAGTGCGGGTGGAACCAAGTGAGGGGAGGGAGGTGGAAAGACAGGGGTCACCTGGCCTCCATCACCACATTTGGGTCCAGAATTCTAAATGTGAATCTGGCCTTCCAGGTCCTTATGGAGAGATGTTTGTTAAGGCAGAAGGATAAAACATATCTCACTGAACAGTTTATTAGCTTTTAACTTTTAAATGTTTGGACATGGGGTAGGTGGGCTGTCATTAACACCCTTGCTCAAGGCCTCACAAATGTTAGGATCAGGCCTGCATGCTTCCTTCTTCCTTTTCCCGGGGATCCAGGAATACCAGGAGTCCAAACTCAGCGGGGGGCCACTGGGACAGATGCCTCACCTGTTTGTCTGACCAACACTGCTCCTGCTCATAAGAAAGGTTAGAGTACATTAGATGTAGGAAAGCCTGCCAAGACTTGCTCCAGCTAGAATTTGGAACAAAACCAGACGCAGGACCCAGGTTTTGCTGCCTTGCATCTTACTGAAAGACCAGCCATTTTCCTTTATGTGTTTGATTGCCCTGCCATCTGGCTGGTACTGTAATATTTTTCCCCCTTTAATGACTGATTACTGAGTTAATCCCTAACTGAAAAGGATAGCTGAGTTATACGGCTGTCACACAATGAATTACCAGTCAATTAACAAACATTTGTAATGTGCTAGCCACTGCACACTCATGACCGTCCTCTGGCGGCTGTCTGGGGCTGCAGAATTGGATGCCTCTCTCCTCCAGCCCTTACAATATAGGGAACAAAGGTCACAGCCAACAAGAAAGCTGCCTCTTCATCCCTGGCTGACCGTGAAGCCGACTATGCCTTCAGGGCTGGGAACACCCTGCCAGGATCTGTGGGAGTCCAGGGGACCAGGGGTTTCAGCAAAAATGTGTCCTCAAGGGTGAAAAAAATAACTCGGATACATTCTCCTATTATCACTAAGATTGTATTTTGGGGAAATAATAAATTAGAACTTCAATTCCATTTAAGCAATCGCCAACATTTCCAGAAAGCTAGCACGTCATCTTTAAACTCTCTTATAGATGACAAATATTAGAAGCATTCCATTTCCTCTATAGAATGATAAATTGATAATTTCCTTCTTTAAGGAGTCTTGAAAGATGATAAATGGGGGTGGGAAAGCCACGGCTTTGCAGGTGTAGGTACTAATTTTCTGTGAAATCGTGCAATCTCTGTAGAGAGCCAGCTTAGCATAGGGGAGGTCTTCAGCAATAATTTCGTCCGCAAATGAGAGCAGTTCTGGCTCCAGTGTGGTATGGAGACCATTGGCTGCCATCTAGAAGAGGGGCGGAGGGACAAGCAAAGCAAGTTAATATCTAAGAGTAGATTTTGAGGTCATGAAGAGGAGCGATTTGGTCACGCGTTTCCGAAGAGTAGGCGTGGACGAAGGAACACCACCAGCTGGGCGCAGCTTTTTCTCTTCATCTTCGGGACTGCAGAGTGGTGGTCTGGGCTGAGAGAGAGGCAGAGAGCCAGGCAGAGAGGGGTAAGAGGTGAGCTGTGGGCGTGGGTGGTGATGGGGTGGGCACATCAGGTGGTGCTTTGGAGGTC